GCTATTCGGCCCAACAAGGAAAGTTTCAATCTCGTCCAAATTTCTAAATCCTTTTTAATTTCTGACCAACATTTTTCATAGGTAAAAGGTAAAGGTACCCCTGCCCGTATGGGCCAGTCTTGACAGACTCTAGGGTTGTGCACCCATCTCACTCAAGAGGCCGGGGGCCAGCGCTGTCCGAAGACACTTCCGGGTCACGTGGCCAGCGTGACATCGCTGCTCTGGCGAGCCAGAGCCACACACGGAACGCCGTTTACCTTCCCGCTAGTAAGCGGTCCCTATTTATCTACTTGCACCCGGGGGTGCTTTCGAACTGCTAGGTTGGCAGGCGCTGGGACCGAACAACGGGAGCGCACCCCGCCGCGGGGATTCGAACCGCCGACCTTTCGATCGGCAAGCCCTAGGCGCTGAGGCTTTTACCCACAGCGCCACCCGCGTCCCAACATTTTTCATAGTTATCTTTAAAGAAATTCAAATTTTTAGCAGACAAGTTAACCCCTAGGTATTTCACCTTTTTAACCACATTTAAGTCCGTCTCCTTCTGAAACCTCTCTGTTTCCATAGATGTCAAATTTTTTTCCAATACCTTAGTTTTCTGCTTATTTAATTTAAATCCCGCCACCCGACCAAACTCATGAATCAATTCTAAAACTCTTTTTGTACTAGACTCTGGCTCCTGTAATGTTAAAACCAGGTCATCTGCAAATGCCTTTAATTTGTACTGTTTGGCTCCGACCTGTATCCCTTCCACCAACCGGTCCCCTCTGATCATGTTCAAGAGAACCTCCAGAACCGAAATAAATAACAGAGGGGAGATAGGACAACCTTGTCGTGTTCCTTTTTCAATCTTAAACTCTTCTGTCACCGCATTGTTAACTATCAGTTTAGCTTTTTGCTCTGAATAAATCGCATCTATTCCATTTTCAAATCCCCGTCCCACTCCCATCCCCTCCAGATTTTTCTTCATAAACTTCCATGAGATATTGTCAAATGCTTTCTCCGCATCTATAAAAATTAACACTGCTTTAGTATTGATATTCGTTTGTAACAGTTCCAAAATGTCAATAATATTCCTAGTATTATCAAACAAGTGTCTACCTGGGAGAAAGCCTGCCTGATCTTTATGAATTACTTCGTTTACATTTGATGGCATTTGATGGCATGCACAACGTTCGAAGATGAGCCATTCAATAGGCCTGAGTTGGGATGTTTGGCATTGTTGGGTCCAGCGATGGTGTTGTCTGGGTGTGAGTGGCAGCAAAGTTGGCACCTGGGTTTATTGCAGGCTCTGGTAACTGTGTCCGTGTTAAGGTATGATTGTGGGCAGTGGCGTAGCGTGGGGGGTGCAGGGGGGGCCGGCCGCACCGGGCGCAACATCTGGGGGTTAGGGTTAGGGTGCGCAAATCCACGGGTTAGGGGGCGCAAATTATTTGCCTTGCCCCGGGTGCTGACAACCCACGCTACGCCACTGATTGTGGGTGAGGAGTTGTTGTCACCATCTAGGAAGGTTGCAAATCTCTGATGAGGCATTTTAACTTGGGAGCTGTATGTGATCGCTAGTGGCATTCTGTTATTTTCTCTTTGGGGTCTGTCTCGCAGCAAGCGCTCTCTGGCAATCTGTCTCACTTTGTCGATCTGTTGTTGAACTTTGAATTCCAAAACACCTGAATCTAGGATCTAAGGCTGTTTGAAAGAAGACCAACATCCAAAGCAATTTTGGCCAAGAATGTGAACTGCTGCGGAAACCCTGGGAGTTTGTCTGTCTCCTGTGTTCTGTCTCTTGATGGATGAGGTGGCAGCTGGCCTGATGAATGGGAGACAGGTCGAGGTTAACATAGCTGGAAGTTTTGGCAAGTCGGAAGGGAGACAGCGTCCCAGCCATTGAAGCAATGTGTTCCTTTGTGGATTAGGAGCAGCTGGGTGCAAAGAGCAGCTGGGTCACATCATGTTATTCAAAAAAATGCCATTGCTCCTTTTCCCCTTATGGGGTACCCAAAAGCCCGTCTACAGTCCTTAAGTGGGTTCCCTCTCAGTAGGAGAAAGATTGTTGTTGTTGAGTCGTTTAGTCATGTCCGCCTCTTCGTGACCCCACAGACCAGAGCATGCCAGGAACTCCTGTCTTCCACTGCCTCCCGCAGTTTGGTCAAACTCATGTTGGTAGCTTCAAGAACACTATCCAACCATCTCGTCCTCTGTCATCCCCTTCTCCTTGTGCCCTCCATCTTTCCCAATATCAGGATCTTTTCCAGGGAGTCTTCTCTTCTCATGAGGGGGCCAAAGTCTTGGAGCCTCAGCTTCAGGATCTGTCCTTCCAGTGAGCACTCAGGGCTGATTTCCTTCAGAATGGATGCGTTTGATCTTCTTGCAGTCCATGGGACTCTCAAGAGTCTCCTCCAGCACCAGAATTCAAAAGCATCAATTCTTCGGCGATCAGCCTTCTTTATGGTCCAGCTCTCACTTCCGTACATCACTACTGGGAAAACCATAGCTTGAACTATATGGATCTTTGTCGGTAAGGTGATCCTTGCTTTCTGAGATGCTGCCTAGTTTTGTCATCACTTTTCTCCCGAGAAGCAGGCGTCTTTTGATTTTGTGACTGCTGTCACCATCTGTCATATTTTGGGGGACTCAAATGGGGGCCCCTTTTTAAACATTTTTTAAAGTAAAAAAAACCTAGTCTTATACACAGAAAAGTACGGTACCGTGGCAATGGATTATTTGGATCCTGAACAACCAGGAGTTCTTAGCAAGAGATGGAAAAGTCCACGGACAAACAAAACTGTTTGCACAGAGCTGGCCAAGGAGCAGCATAGTTTGGATTTTTGAAGCCTTTTCCGATGTTTTGGAGGAGAGAAGGCTTGACTTGATTCCAGGCAGCCTCCCAGGCCCTGCGCTGGATCTCAAATGCCATCTTTCAGAATGTGGGGTTTCAAAGATCTTTTCCCGTGTCTGAGAGGTCCTCCTGGCTGGTTTTTTTAAACTTTGGTTTCCTGGTCTCTGTTGTGATGGTCTCCTTGTCGAGAATCACCCAGTTAGGCGTTTATTGATCTGTGTAACTTTGGGAAATGTCAATCTCATCTCCTACCTGAGCAGTTCTCTTTCCACAAGGGCCAACATTGATGTTGAAATCGAGCATTGCCTGAGCTCTGCGAGTGCAGCTTTCTCCCAATTGAAGGGCAGAGTGTTTGAGGACCGGGACATTCGCAGGGAAACCCAACCTGGCTGCCTGCTTGTGAAACACGGACCACTTATCAACGCCGTCTCCAACTCCTTGAAAGATTCCATCAACGGGGTCTTGAAAAAGCTTGGGAAGACACAGGAGAACTAATGCCAGAGTAACAACCAAGACGCAATCAAAAACAATGGGAGAATGACATAGGCTATGAGATTAACCCCACTCAATGGACCAGAATGTGGTCTAAACCCCCCTTTAAATCCATATCAACGAAAAGAAAAGAACTCACTCTGAAACTCACCTACAGGTGGTACCTAACACCAAGAAACTAGCGCTAATACACCCAGGAACCTCACCAAAATGCTGGAGAGGGTGCACCTCCACAGGCACATACTTCCACATGTGGTGGGAGTGTCCCAAAATCCAACTATTCTGGACAACAGCCACACGAGAAATATGTAAAATAACTAAGCAAGTATTAGACATCACCCCAGAATTGGCCCTACTAAACATCTTCCAAGACAACAATGCCCATTTACACCACAAAGAACTCATAACCCATCTACTTTCAGCAGCCAGAAACACCATAGCCAGACACTGGAGAGACCTGTCAGGAGTAAGCCTGGACCATTGGTACCAAATAGTATGGGAAACAGCCTTATTAGAAAAATTAACCAATAAACTGAAACTGACACGGGGACAAACAGAAGAAGACGCCTTTACGTATGGCTCCCCTTTATCACATACACAGCCCAACAAGACAATGACAATAACCCACCAACAGCATACAAATCAATATGGCTAACCTGATCCAAAACACCCACCCGCCCCACTCACACACGAAAACAAAGGCCACCACAGCCAACCACAAATGAACAACCACACCCTCGGCCAACCCCAACCTCTCTCACCACCAAAGAAACACAAGTGAACAGCAGAGAACCGGCACGAGTAACGCTGACACCAAACCCATTAAGCAAAATAGAAACATCGCCACCCACCCCACCCCCACCCATCTTCCCCCCTCCACCACTTTCCCCCCCACTAATGTCTCAACAAATGAAACTGATTTGTAAAAATGTTACATGGAAAAAATATGAGAGACATTACATATACTTCTGTAAAACAAGAAAATCAATAATAATAATAATAATAATAATAATAATAATTATAATTATAATTATAATTATAAATTAACTTACTGTTTTTAAAAATGGGATTTTATTCTTGTCAAAAGGAAACCTTCCTCTGCGGGTCAATGTGAAGAGGATGCCAGCGAGGTTGAACCTTTCTGTAAAATAAAGTCTTACCGAGACCATAAAACACCAGTCCTGAGAGACCTGCATTGGCTCCCAGGACGTTTTCAAGCACAATTTAAAGTGTTGGTGCTGACCTTTAAATCCCTCAACGGCCTTGGCCCAGTAGACCTGAAGAAGTGCCTCCACCCTGGACGCCAGGGTCCCTCTCCGGCAAGAAGCGAAGTTACAGGGAACCAGGCAGGGGGCCTTCTTGGTATTGGCACCCTCCCTGTGGAGCGCCATCCTGTCAGATGTTAAAGGAATAAACAACTGTATGACATTTAGAAGACATCTGAAGGCAGCCCTGCTTAGGGAAGCTGAATGACTTGTTTTAATGTATTTTTAATCTATGTCGGAAGCCCCCCAGAGTGGGGATGCCTGTCCAATACCATGTTCTGAGCTGCAGATGCTTTTCCCGTTTGCCATGCACCAACCATGTGCTTCGCTGTCTCCTTCCCTGCCGCCTTTGCCCTAAAGATGATATTATTTTATTATTATTATTATTATTATTATTATTACTATTACAGGGCCTACCAGCTACACGGTGGGCACCATGTCGGAGCGCTTTGACTGCCACTATTGCCGGGACAACTTGCACGGGAAGAAGTATGTGCAGAAGGAAGGCCGCCACTGCTGCATCAAGTGCTTCGAGAAGTTCTGCGCAAACACCTGTGCTGAGTGCAAGAAGCCCATCGGGGCCGATTCCAAGGTGGTTATTTTAACAGTTTGCTTGTTTACTGAATGGATATTTCCATCCCACGCTCCCTGCCCCCAGAAATGTGGGGATGTTCAGGGAGGCAGGAGAGGACCCATTGTTTAATAGCGGCATAGGCAAACTTGGCCCTCCAGCTGTTTTGGGACTACAACTCCCATGATCCTTAGCTAGGACTCCCCTGTGTGAGTGCCTGAGGGCCCCACTCCTGCCACTCACCACCTGGCCCAGGGCAGGGCCCGACAGGCCTCATAAGGACAGTTGCTGCTGCTGCTGCTGCTGCTGCTGCTGCTGGCCATGAAGACTCGGAGCGGTGCAGTGTTTTTTAAAAAATGTTTAAAAATTCTATTATTTCCCTTTTGAATTTTTTGTGGGGGGGGTGGGGGTGGGATGGAAGTTTGGTTGGGTTTGGGAATTTGTTTTGATTTTGATGTGTTTGTAATTTTTACAGTTTTTTGTTTGTATTGTTTTATTGTGTTTTGTTTTAAAGGTTTTATTTTGTACTTAAGGGCTGCCGGGGAGTGGGTCCCAGCCAACAGATTGGCTGGGGCAGGTTCCACAGGGCGGGTATGCACTGGGACAACCGATCTCGGTGATCACGGGTAGGAGGAGGAGTTATGCTAAGACCAGACCATGTCATTACTTAGTCGTTGTTTGAGGACTATCCCTGCCTCCGGGTCTGGTCTTGACCGGACAGATACTGGAATCAGCAAGGGATACCCACACGACCTGAAGGTGCTGCTGTGCAATGCCAGGTCAATGATCCATAAGACCACTGCCATCCATGACTTGATCATGGATGGAGGACTTGACCTGGCATGTGTGACAGAGACTTATTTGGATGAAGCAGATGGGCCTGTTCTTGCTGCTGCTTGTCCACCAGGTTTCTCTTACACGCAGCAACCCAGGTCATGTGGGCGGGGAGGGGGGGTTGCAGTGATTTTAAGATAGTCATTAGTCTGCACCAGGCATCCTATTGGGAAGACCCAGATTTCTGAGTGCATGTTCTGGAAGTTGGGCTATAGGGGGAGTACAGGATTCCTATTGGTGTACCGACCTCCCCGCTGCACCAAGGATTCCCTGCCTGAGCTGCTTCAGGTTGTGGCGAATGTTCTCCTGGAGACACCTAATTTGGTTGTCCTGGGGGATTTTAACATCCATGCCAACAGGACCTTACAAGGGGTCACTTAGGACTTCATGGAAAGCATGGCCTCCATGGAGCTGTCCCTGAATAAGGACATGCCTTGGTGTTCACCTCTGTGGATGTTGGTGATCTGACACTAAGTAAAAGTGAAACGAAATGAAGTGCCATGGTCAGGTCACTTCCTGGTGCAACTGGACTTCTCCGCGACCCTTCCCCTCTGCAGGGAGGTGGAACCGATTCGGATGGTCCGCCCCCGCCACTTAATGGATCCAAATGGTTTCCAGAGAGTGGTAGGGGATGTTTTATCTGATGTTGATGGCCTTTCAGCTGATTCCCTGGTGGCCCGCTGGAATGTGCAGTTAAACAGGACTATTGACTATTTGGCTCCGAAGTGCCCTCTCCAATTGCATGGAGCCCGGACAGCCCCATGGTTTTCCACGGACCTGAGGGCAATGAAACAATCACTGAGACGGCTAGAGCGCCGGTGGCAGATAACTCATTCCGAATCTGACCGGACGTGGGTTAAAGCTCAATGTCGAGCCTACCAAGTGGCGGTAGGATGGCGAAAAAGACTTTCTTCACCGCCTCTATTGCATCTGCAGAAAACAGCAGCAGGAGACTTTTTCAGGTGGTTCGCAATTTAGCAGAGCCACCTGCTACATCGGGGCCCAGTATGGGCCACATGATCTCCTGTAATGATTTTGCAAAGTTTTTTGCAGATAAAGTAGCTCAGATTCAGGAAGAGGTAGACTCCACCATGGGAGCAGGGCCGGGGTGGGAGAGTGCTAGAGTCCAGTCTAGTCAAGTTGTGTGGGATCAATTCCAATCTGTTACCTCCAAGGATGTGGACAGGCTGCTTGGATGAGTGAAACAAACCACCTGTCTCCTTGATCTTTGCCCATACTGGCTTATAAAAGCTAGCCAGGAAGGGCTGGGTGATGGGCTTTGCGAGGTGGTGAATGCTTCTCTCTGTGAAGGAGCCTTCCCAGACCCACTGAAAGAGGCGGTTATCAAACTGCTTCTTAAAAAACCATCTTTAGATGCAGCCAATATGGCCAACTATCGCCCACTTTCAAATCTTCCATTCTTGGGCAAGGTGATTGAGTAAGTGGTTGCTGAACAACTCCAGGCACGCCTTGAAGAAGCGGAACATTTGGATCCCTTCCAGTCGGGATTCAGGCCTCATCATGGGACTGAAACTGCCTTGGTCGCACTGGCTGATGATCTCCGGAGGGCTAGGAACAAAGGTGAGAGCTGTTTCCTAGTTCTGCTGGATCTCTCAGCGGCTTTTGATACCATTGACCATAACATCCTTCTGGACCGTCTAGAGGGGCTGGGAGCTGGGGGCACTGTTATACAGTGGTTACGCTCCTTTCTGCTGGACCGTGTCCAGAAAGTGGTGGGGGGGGGATGAGTGTTCAGACCCCTGGGCTCTCACTTGTGGGGTGCCTCAGGGTTCTGTCCTCTCCCCCATGCTTTTCAATATCTACATGCAGCCGCTGGGAGAGATCATCAGGGGGTTTGAGCTGGGTGTTCATCAGTATGCGGATGATACCCAGCTTTACCTCTCTTTCAAATCGGAACCAGTGAAGGTGGTGAAGGTCCTGTGTGAGTGTCTGGAGGCGGTTGGAGGATGGATGGTGGCTAACAGATTGAGGTTGAATCCTGACAAGACAGAAGTACTGTTTTGGGGGGACAGGGGGCGGGTGTGGAGGACTACCTGGTTCTGAATGGGGTAGCTGTCCAGAGTGGTGCATGCTCTGGTTATCTCTCGCTTGGACTACTGCAATGCGCTCTATGTGGGGCTACCTTTGAAGGTGACCCGGAAACTACAACTAATCCAGAATGCGGCAGCTAGACTGGGGACTGGGAGCGGCCGCCGAGACCATATAACACCGGTCTTGAAAGACTTACACTGGCTCCCAGGATGTTTCCAAGCACAATTCAAAGTGTTGGTGCTGACCTTGAAAGCCCTAAACGGCCTCGGTCCAGTATACCTGAAGGAGTGTCTCCACCTCCATTGTTCTCCCCGGACACTGAGATCCAGCGCCGAGGGCCTTCTGGCAGTTCCCTCCCTGTGAGAAGTGAGGTTACAGGGAACCAGACAGAGGGCCTTCTCGTAGTGGCACCCGCCCTGTGGAACGCCCTCCCATCTGATGTCAAGGAAATAACTATCTCACTTTTAAAGGACATCTGAAGGCAGCCCTGTTTAGGGAAGCTGTTAATGTTTAATAGGTTATTGTATTTTAGTGTTTTGTTGGAAGCCTCCCAGAGTGGCTGGGGAAGCCCAGCCAGATGGCCGGGGTATAAATAATATATTATTATTATTATTATTATTATTATTATTATTATTATTATTATTATTACTACTACTACTACTACTACTACTACTAGCACGAGCAGTGGTCAGGGATGATGGGAATTGTAGTCCCAAAACAGCACACATGAAAAACTTTAAACAAATCCTTATTTCCTGATGAATAGCCTCTGGATTATGGACACATGGTCAGCAGACCCTGGGCACCTTCCACTGGACATTCAATGGAATGGCTTTCGCCCCACCATCAAGCTAACAAGGAACCAATCTATGCAATAAATACATTGTCTGGACACTACTATAAAAAGACAGGATGGGCGCATAGACACCACCTGAGGCCGGAAACCAAACAACTGGCAAACATATCTACATGCTTCTGGCCACCACCCCAAACATACCAAACAATCCATTGTGTATAGCCAGGTTCTGTTCCAACTCTACAGACAGGGATGCTCCCCTAAGAGATCTGCAGCAAACCTTTTTGGAACTAAAATATCCGCCTGATGGAAAAAATAAAAAATAAAAAAGGTATCTGAAGAAGTGTGCCTGCACACGAAAGCTTCTACCCAGGACAAACTGAGTTGGCCTCTAAGGTGCTAATTTTCTAATTTATTTCGACTATGCCAAAAATAAATATATATTTTTACATATTTATTTTTTAATTATGAATTATGATTATGATTATCTTTTATATATTTCTTCCTAACTTGTGCTAGCAAGTCCCTTTGCCAAGCAGAGTGCATCCCCCTTTTGAACACATAGCGGTTGGCTCAAGACTAGCTTCTCACTCGCCATCTACCGGTAGATCCCCGGCCGATCCTGGTAGATCGCTGGATTCTTATCGTGTACAAAAAGTTACGGGGGGGAGCTTAAAAAAACTCTGTGCAATCCCCCCCCCCCCGCAAAAAAGCTCAACAACTTTGGGCAATATACCCACCCCACGCATGCTCCCCCTCCCTCCAATGACGAGTAGATCACTGGCAGTTTTTTTTATACTGGGAGTAGATCACAGTCTCTTGGGAGTTGGGACATGCCTGAATATGACACGGCCTCCTTGGGACTGTTATCCCACCCCCCCCACCCCCATAAAGAGAGATGGAAAAAATTGGACTGGGAACTCCTGGATAAGAACCAATAGATGGCAGCATTGGAGAGCCTTGCTAAAAAAAAACATGAACATGCAAAACTTACCTGGCCGGTTTCTCTAGTTACACGCTCTTGCCTTTAAAAGGGAAGCAGTGAAAATCATCGAGTAGAGGAGGGGAAACGTGCAGAGAAATTGGAACAGAAGCTCAATAAGCTAAGGCTGTCAGACAGATAGATAGATAGATAGATAGATAGATAGATAGATAGATAGATAGATCAGGACCAGGGAGTCCCCCCACCTGTCCCCCCCCCACAACAGGACTTCTGTGTTGTCAGGATTCAACCTCAATTCTGCTGCCTTCCCCTCCTCCCTCCCTCCAGGAGCTGCATTTCAAGAACCGCTACTGGCACGAGAACTGCTTCCGCTGCTTCAAGTGCTCCACGTCTCTGGTCAACGAGCCCTTCATGCTGAAGGAGCACAACAAAGTGTGGTGTAACAAGTGCACCATGGATCAGGCCCCCCACTGCAAGGGCTGCCAGAAGCCCATCGTGGCAGGTAGGACTCCCCTCAACTGCCTTGCACCCCTTTGCTTCTTGCCCCACTCGACTATGGAGCCTTGTCATGGGGCGGCCAGCAGGCTTATGGAACATTTGAGTGTTAAAAACAATACAGCATTAAATATTAAAAACTTCCCTAAACAGGGCTTCCTTCAGATGTCTTCTAAAAGTCAGATAGCTGCTAATTGCCTTGACATCTGCTGGGAGGGTGTTCCATAGGGTGGGCATCCCAACCAAGGCGGCCCTCTGCCTGGATCCTTGTAACCTTGCTTCTTGCAGGGAGGGAACCGCCAAAAGGATCTTGGGAGAGGGACCCCAGTGTCCGGGGTGGAGGTGCTCCTTCAGGGATACTGGGCCGAGGCCGTTTAGGGCTTTCAAGGTCAGCATCTACCCATTGAATTGTGCCTGGAAATGTCCCAGGAGGAATGTAGGTCTTTCAGGACCGGAGTTATGTGGTCTTGGCAGCCGCTCCCAGTGCCCAGTCTGGCTGCCGCATTTTGGATTAGTTGTAGTCACCTTCAAAGGTAGCCCCATGTAGAGCGCATTGCAGTAGTCCAAGCGGGAGATAACTAGAGTATGCACCACTCTTGCAAGACAGTCTGTGGGCAGGGAGGTCTCAGCCTGCGTACCAGGTGGAGCTGATAAACAGCTGCTCTGGACACAGAATTGACCTGCGCCTCCATGGACAGCTGTGAGTCCAAAATGACTCCCAGGCTGCACACCTGGTCCTTCAGGGGCACAGTTACCCCATTCAGGACCAGGGAGTCCCCCCCCACACACCCCCTGTCCCCCCAAAACAGTACTTCTGTCTTGTCAGGATTCAACCTCAATCTGCTAGCCCCCATCCATCCTCCAACCTCCTCCAGACACTCGCACAGGACCTTCACTGCCTTCACTGGTTCATATTAGAAAGAGAGGTTGTATCTCCACATACTGATGAACACCCAGCCCAAACCCCCTGATGATCTCTCCCAGCAGCTGCATGTAGATATTGAAAAGCATGGGGGAGAGGACCCCACAAGTGAGAGCCCAGGGGTCTGAACACTCATCCACCACCACGTTCTGGACAAAATATACTTTAGCCCTTCACATATGCGCCGCCCGGGCGCAAAGACCAGCCCAGTGCCCCCCAAATTTAGTTAATTTTGCACGCATGGCGCCATGGAGAATGACAAGTGCCGCTGTTGAGTTGGACAGGCGCCAATATTGTGAATGAGAAGCGCCGCTGCGGGCGCACCACATCTTTGGTAAATGAGCGCACAAAATTGAAAGTCCTCGAGTGAAACAGTCGGTCTACATTTTGGGAATACCTAGGTATAGATGTCTATTTTTTCCTAGCTCTGGCATAGGCAAACTCGGCCCACCAGATGTTTGGGGAGTACAACTCCCATCCTCCCTGACTACTGGTCCTGTTAGCTAGGGATGATGGGAGTTGTAGTCCCAAAACATCTAGAGGGCTGAGTTTGCCAATGCCTGTTCTAGCTTGATCAAAATTACCACATTTCCCCGTGTATAAGACTAGGTCCCCCCCCCCTTAAAAATAATGTCAAAAATGAGATGGCGTCTTATACTAGGATCCATCTAACCCACCCCACCCCGTTTTCTTCAATCTGAGTCCCCCCCAAATAGGGGACATCTTATGCATGGGGCCGTCTTATAGATGGGGAAATATGGTATTTATTCTTTCATAACAGGTAGAGGCAGCTCTTAACAAATCCAAAGTGCAAGAACCATATAAATAATCAAAACCAGAAATCAGGTAGCTATTGTGGAAATAGGTATTCTTCATTTGTTGGAATAGAGGAGTTTTCAGCCAGTATTTAAAAGTGGAAACAGAGGGTTCCCACCGAATCTCTGGTAGCAGAATATTCTGCAATAACGGTTCGGTTTCCTTTTCATTGTCAAACAAATATTCAGGCATCATTGCTTGTTGAAAGTGGAGTTGCAAACTGTTTCCCGGCTTTCTGGTTGACATGGGATTTTTGACCTGGAAGAGCACGCATGCTTTTTGCCAGCCCCACCCCACTATAATCCATGTACTATAGTCCAAGAGATTCATTATTCTTATTTTTTATTTTCATCTTTATTTCATTTCATTGTATTGCAGAATCTAGTGTCAATTATGACGTTGATAAAAATCCCCGTTTCCTCTCTCATTCTGTTTCCGTGACTTCCCTCTGCCACATGGCAGCCTTTCATACATTTTGAACTTGTCATTGTGTGTGTGTGTGTTATAATAAATAACAAGATGAAAAATCTTTAATAATTCCAGTGGCACCTTAAAGATCAACTAAATATAAGCTTTCAGGGTATGAGGATTTGTGTGTAATACACACTCCGTCTGATACTCTGACAACATGACATCCTTTAATACATTTTGAACTTGTCATTGTGTGTGTATCTGAAGAAGTGTGCATACATGCAAAAGCTTATACCTAAAACCACTCAGGTGGTCTCTAAGGTGCTGCTTTTTATTCTTTTGGAAGAATTCTTTGAAAGACTTTCTTAGATCATATCACTTTTTGGAAGACTTGATTCTTTTAAGGAAGTTTTTAGATTTTTAAGAAAAGTCTTTTGAACTATCTTTTTAAAGAATGGTTTTGGTATATTTTGACGATGGCAGACCAACATGCCTACCTACTTGAATCTGTTAGAAATATGGGCAGTTCATAAAAAAACCTTTTTCTTAAAATGCCTGTTCCAAAGGTCTTATCTTACTACACTAGGGGTTATATAGTTATCTCTGAAATTTCATGCATATCAGTTAATATCTTGACCCTGCTCTGCTGAATTGACATTTTAGCCTTCACAACATAGGAAAATGGCCAAGTAAACAGCTATTTTCATGGAGGAGGGTCAAGATATTAACTGATATGCATGAAATTTCAGCTATAGCTATATAATCCCTAGTGTAGTAAGATAAGAACTTGGGAGCAGGCATTTTCAAAATAGAGTTTTTTTATAAACCGTCCTACTGAACACCCAATGCTTTTCAGTGGAGCAGGGTCAAGATATTAACTGATATGCATAAAATTTCAGATATATCTATATAATTCCTAGTGTAGTAAGACCAGACTTTTTTATGAATCACCCTAATATATATTAGTTACTTTGGCCCCCAGGACAATCTGACAATAATTTTCCCACTCCTTTACGAAGTTAGCCCACGCATATCAATCCATTTGTTTTGGATCAATGTTTGGTCATTCTTCCAAACTAGTTCCGTTCCTTCTGAAGTTTCGGTTCCAATGGAAATCTCATGGTTGCGGTCATTTTAGCCAACTCTATGAATTCACATAATTTGTTTAGCCAACTTGATGAGTTCACACAATTTGTTTAACCAATCTTCTACTGAGGGGATGTTGTCCCCTTTCCAATTTTAGAGTCCAAGAGATTTAGACCACTGTGTTTCATCACTGTGAGAGGTGAGGTTACAGGGAACCAGGCAGAGAGCCTTCTTGGTGGTGGCGCCCACCCTTCAGATGTCAAGGAAATAATCAACTATCTTACTTTTAAAAGACATCTGAAGGCAGCCCTGTTGAGGGAAAATTTTTAATGTTTGATGCTGTATTGCAGGGACGTCCAACTCTCAAGAGATTGCGATCCACTCCCAGTATAAAAAAACTGGCAGTAATCTACCCCCCTTTTTTGAGGGGGGGTTCAGTTCAAAGTTGTTCCTATCCCTAACCCCTATCCCTAACTCCTATTTCTAGCCCCTATCCTTAACCCCTATTCCTATCCCTAACCCCTATCCCTAATCTTGCAGTTTTAATAATTGATTGGGAGCCACCCAGAGTGGCTGGGGAAACCCATCCGGATGGGTGGGCTGTAAGTAATAAATTTATTATTATTATTATTATTATTATTATTATTATTATTATTATTATTATTATAGCTTTCAGCTTGCCATTCGTGAATCACAATTTTCTCAGTGCCACAAATTGCATCAATCTGGCAGTGAGCGCCATCTCTTTCCCTCCCTCTTTGCAGGTGACCAGAATGTGGAATACAAGAAGACTGTCTGGCACAAGGAGTGCTTCACCTGCAGCCACTGCAAGCAGGTGATTGGCACCGCCAGCTTCTTCCCCAAGGACGACGAGATTTACTGCACCTCCTGCCATGAGCAGAAATTTGCCAAGACCTGTGTGAAGTGCAAGCAGGTAAGTTGTGCCGACCCACCCTCCCCCAGCTTACCTGGATCCCATTTGGATCTCGGCTTTCCCCCAAAGGGCTCGGAGCTGTGCTCATTATCAGAGTTTCCTCCGCCAGTTCGGAAGGTGCGCCAAAAGGCACTTATGCCGACCAATGCACCCACTCTTCTTTCACCACGGCCTCTCTTGGTGCAGTTCTTGACGGAGGACATATGGTGGAGATAAGGTCAGGGTCAAGGGACTCCTGGAAGGTTCAGTCCAGTCCAAGGCGGTGATGGGGTTGCAGCACTCATAGGGGTTAAAGATAGGGATAGGGATAGCAGGCATGTCCAACAGGTAAATCATGATCTACCAGTAGATCACTGGACACCTGTGGTAGATCACTGGCTCTCCCTAAAGAAGCTCAACAAGGCCAACATCTTTGCCCTGCACCCCCAAAAAGGGGTAGATCACTGCCAGTTTTTAACTGTGAGTGGGTCGCAGTCTCTTGGGAGTTGGCCACCCTAGGTATAGGGGTTAGGGATATCCAAAGTCTGTTTTGGGGGCCTAATCTGGCCCACTAGTGGATTTAATCTGGCCCCCGTGGCAGTATAGGTCCTGGGGTAAAATCCTAAAAAAAAAAAGCTCAGCAACTTCAATCCTAAAAAAAGGTTAACAACTCTGGTTGGCCCTCTGGCCCTTTTGATTTAAATCACTCATCATTAAGGCTTGATTAAAAACCTTTTTTTCAGAAAGGTTCAACCTTGCTGGCATCCTCCAAATAATGACAACCAGAGGAAGGTTTCATTTTTGGAATCATAAATTCTCAGAGGAGTTTTTACAGTTAAATAAAATATGACTGATTTGGTTCTACTATGAGAAATACATTGACAGATAATGATGAAATTATAGTGAGGTTTCATAAGTTAACTGCTTCTATTTGGACAACTTTTCTGCTGCATTTGATTGGAAGGAGAAAAACCATTTCCTTCATAACAATTTAAACCATTTATTTCACTAAAACAGTAACGTGATAGCATATGGATCCACGTTTGTTAACTGATGTGCTTAAACTTTTTTTCTTCTTTCTTTTTTAAACCCAACAGACTGAGTTTTAGCACTTAAAAACAAATCCTTATTTCCTGACGAATAGCCTTTGGACTATAATGTAATTTCAATAGAAAACCTTTAGAAAGATTTTTCTTCCCAAAGCATTTCATTTTAAAAATCCTGATTTGAATAATAATAAAAATCCCATTTAAATCAAAATAAAGAGTTTGTGGGTTTTTTAAAGTCATAATTGAAAAAATCAGAATAATTCATAAAGAAAACAGTTTATAAGAAGTAAACAAGGAGGCCATGTGCAGGATAAAGGAAGTCTTTTATTCTGACGTTTTATGTTATGTTTATTTTATGTTATGTTCATGTCTAATGATGGTGGATTTGTTGATTTGAGTTGTGGTGGATTTATGTTGTACAATGTACAGTGGTACCTTGGTTTACAACCATAATCCGTTCCAGAGGTCCGTCTGTAAACCAAAACAGGCTGGAACTTGAGGCACGCTTTTGCCAATGGTGCCTCCCCCCAAAAATTGTTCGTTATCCCCCACCCAAAAAAAGGGGGGAAGGGCTGTAATCCAAAAAAAGGTTACAATCCAGGATAAGCAACCAAGACGTTTGCAAACCAAGGTACCACCGTAAATAAAATTTAAATTAAATGAAATTTTTTAATACAAATGGTCATCAAATTAATTCAAATGAAACCACCCCCCATCCAAATATATATATATATTTTTAAAAATCATTTAAAAAACCATTGTCCACCCTGCTTTAAACAGAAGAGAGAACAGAAGAGAGAAAGCTTCCACAGGTGATACAGGGTTCGGGGCGGCTTGGACGAATGGTTCCCCAGGAGTCCAAGCAGCGCTTGACCTCTGACTTCCTTCCCCACGCCAGGCCATCACCTGCGGAGGGGTCGCCTACCAGGAGCAACCGTACCACTCCGAGTGCTTTGTGTGTGCCACCTGCTCCAAGAAACTGGGAGGGCAGCGCTTCACAGCTGTGGAGGATCAATTCTACTGCGTTGATTGCTACAAGTCCTTTGTGGCCAAGAAATGCAGCGGTTGCAAGAACCCCATCACAGGTGGGTCAGTGATGGGTCCGGGACAGGTGCCTGGAGGTGGTTGGAGGATGGGTGGCGCCTAACAGGTTGAGGTTGGATCCTGGCAAGGCAGCAGTCCTGTTGTGGGTGGGCGGGTGTGGGGGACTCCCTGGTCCTGAATGGGGCAAGGACCAGCTGCACAGCCTGGGGGTGATCTTGGACCCAAGGAGGCACAGGTCCATTCTGTGTCCAGGGCAGCTCCATCTGGGACGCAGGATGAGACCCCTCTCTGCCCAGAGCGCTGCATGCTCTGGTTATCTCCCGCTTGGACTACTGCAGTGGCAGCCCAACTCGGCCCTCCAGCTGTTTGGGGACTACAACGCCCATCGTCCCTGACTGCTGGTCCTGGGAGCTAGGGACAATGGGAGTTGTAGCCCCCAAACAGCTGGAGGGCCAAGTTCAGTTATCACTGGGATATACGATATATCAGATTCTTCTGCTATAGGATACACAGAATATATATTCCGTTCCATTCATTCATATATTCAGTTCCATTCGTTCATTTGCTTCCCAAAAGAAGCTCGACAACTTTGATATGTCCAACGTCAATGGGTATATCACTGCCAGTTTTTTTATACTGCGAGTAGATCACAGTCTCTTGAGAGTTGGACATCCCTGGCCTAGCTCATAAGCAATTAAGTCAAGCATCCCCAAACTCGGGCCTCCAGCTCTTTTGGGACTACAACGCCCATCGTCTCTGACCACTGGTCCTGGGAGCTAGGTATGATGGGGGTTGTAGTCCGAAAACAGTTGGAGGGCCAAGTTGGGCCATGCCTGATCTAGAGTAGTGGTGGCCAAACTTGGCCCTCCAGCTATTTCAGGACTAAAACGCCCATCATCCCTGACCGCTGGTCCTGCTAGCTAGAGTTGTAGGCCAGGTTTGAGGAAGCCCACAAGTCTTGGGAGAGCTGGGGGCAGGGCTCATTGGAGGGAAGCCCACCTACCCGTCCCCCACTCCTTCTTCCAGGCATAGGCAAACTCAGCCCTCCAGCTGTGTTGGGGTTATAATTCCCATCATCCCTGACCACTGGTCCTGTGAGCTAGGGACGATGGGAGTTGTAGTCCCAAGACAGCTGGAGGGGCAAGTTTGCCTATGCCTGAATAAGTGACCTGTGTGCTTCCTTCTCCTTCCTTTCTAACCCTTCCCTCCCTGCTCCTCCTCTGAACCGGCAGGTTTCGGGAAAGGCACCAACGTGGTCAGCCATGAAGGCCACTCCTGGCACGACTACTGCTTCAACTGCAAGAAGTGCTCCATCCCGCTGGCCAACAAGCCCTTCGTCTTTCACAGCGAGCAAGTCTACTGCCCCACCTGCGCCAAGAAGCTGTAAGGGGCGGAGCCAGGGGCAAAGGGGGGGCGCGGCCTCACCTCTTCCCTGGAGGGGCTTGATCCGTGTGCTTGGAGAAAACCTGCCCACTCTCCTGCCCACATTTTTGGCTTCCCCATCCCCATCCTTAAGAGGTGCCCAGCATCTCCCCCCTCCCCATCTGACAGGTGGCATTCAATAAAAGCTCTGCCTTAGCATCCTACCTGCTGCTAACCTTGCTTAAAACCCCCCTTTTTTAAAGGAAAGATCTTCTTATTTTCTTGCCATGCTTCACAGGTGCCGGCCAAAGTTTAGACTCAAGCTTTGCACATCCAAATGTACTTACTGATAACTAGGGTGGATTTGATTTAAATCATATATTCAGTAAGACTGGATTTCAATCACTAGTCAGGAAGACTTGATTTAAATCATTTTTTAAAAAACAGAAAGGTTCAACCTTGCTGGGATCCTCTTTCCTTCTTGCCATGCTTCGTGGGTGCTGGCTGATGTTTCAGCTCAAGCTTCACACAACCAAATATACTGCACTTTCCCGTCTAGAAGACTCCCCCTTCTGTAAGATGCCCCCTATTTTGCGGGACTAAAAATTTCGAAAATTGGGGGGGGGGGATTGTTGAGCACAAATTGCCTACCCGCTGTGGTCACCAAGGGGTCTTTGCAGCCTGCGCTTTGAGTCTTATATAGAACCTCGTCTTCTACACAGAAAAGTACGGTACTTGCTAATAACTGAGCACATACAGCTAATTAGTCTTTTTCCGTGTATAACATGCCCCCATGTACAGTCATACCTCAGGTTGAAGTAGCTTCAGGTTAAACATTTTCGGGTTGTGCTCTGTGGCGACCCGGAAGTAACGGAGTGCGTTACTTCCGGGTTTCGCCGCTTCCGCATGCGCAGACGCTCAAAATGACGTCATGCACACGTAGCTAATTGCGACCCACGCACACGCAGGTTGCGTTTGCTTCAGTATGCGAACAGGGCTCCGGAACGGATCCCGTTCGCATCCAGAGGTACCACTGTATAAGATGCCCCCTATTTTGGACTGGACTTAACTGTCAGGGGTCCTTTACCTTTATTTTGGGGGACTCAAAAATTAAGAAAATGGAGGGAGATTGCCCCCAGGTATAAGATTACCCCTCCCTTTTTTGCATTATTTTTTAGTAAAAAAACCAACACCCTAGCCTTATACAAGGAAAAGTAGGTTACTAACTGAGCAGTAAGATGAGGGCTGAAATCACACGGCTGCTTTTGAAAGGGAAATTTTTTGCTTTTCCTTCCTGGGGAGCAAAAGATCAGGAGAGAGTTTGGGGCCGTTTTAAAGGGTCACTCACTGACCAGGAACACCTGCATTTAAAAGTCTAAACAGGGCTGCCTTCAGACGTCTTGCTGATTTCCTTGAGATCTGATGGGAGAGGGTGCCACCACCAAGAAGGCCCTCTGCCTGTATTAAACTGAATCCTGGGGTGGGGTGGGAGGCAAAATGCTTGTGTGCTCTTCCATATCAAAAATCCCATGAAAGCCAGGAAATGGCCGGCCTGAGCCCTTCGCAACGTCAGTTTCCACAAGCAACGATGCCTTCATATTTGTTTGACAATGAAAAGCAGGGGTCAGCAACCTTTTTAAGCAGGGTCCACTGTGCCTCGGATCTTGTGGGGGCTGGACTATATTTTTGGGGGGGAAATGAACAAATTCCTATGCCCCACAATTAACCCAGAGATGCATTTTAAATAAAAGGACACATTCTACTCATGTCAAAACATGCTGATTCCCAGACCATCCGCCAGCCGGATTGAGAAGGCGATTGGGCCGGATCCGGCCCCCAGGCCTTAGTTTGCCTAGCAATGCCCTAGGTCAGGCACGTCCAACAGGTAGATCACTTTGGCTTCTCCCAAAAAGCTCAGCCACTTTTGTTTCCTAGCCAAAAAGTGGGCCATCAGATTAAGTTCCACTATATAGGACTGGAGATTCAGGACCCTTAACTGTGTTTTATATAATCAACTTTTGATTATGTTCTGTGTATCTCACAACGTTCATTCAGTTCCATTAATTTATATATTCATTTGCTCCCTAAAAAAAAAGCTCAACCACCTTTGCTTCCCCAAAAAAGCTCCACATCTTTGATCCATCCAACGACAACGGGTGGATCACTGCCAGTTTTTTTTACACTGTGAGTAGATCACAGTCTCTTGGGAGCTGGACATCCCTGCCCTAGGTGATAGTATGTCAATATGCAGATCTGATCAGCATCACACGGTCCAGCCCAGAAACATCTCCAGAAAACCTGGCCTTCGCGGATTAACACAATGAAACCCTTGATGCGCACGAAGGAATAAAACGCAAACGTTTGCAACACACAATTTCCTCCACCCATTCTTAGCTGATACTTGTATCTGTTATCACACCCAAGATTGCGTCCAATGAAGTGTCTCATGGGGAATTAAGGGGAGGGGGGGATTACAGAAATCTACATGTGCTTGGTTCAAAACTGTATAAGAAGTAAGAAACATCTCCCGTTTGGAGTCTTCTCCTTTCCTCCTTGGCGAGACTGCCTTTGACCCTGCTGCCGCAAAAATCTCAAATAAAGGTCCAGCATCTTCGCTGCTTTGCTTCAACTTGCCTGGGTTTGTATTCCGTTTTTGCATGCCGGCCGCGGGAACCTTCACAGGTCCCATATGACAGGAGTCCCTTATTTTTCACCATTCCTGGAAGCCTCGTGTGGGAACATCAAACCATAGATGGACACCAGAGACAAAGTATGACAAACTAGTAACAAGAAAAAACTCAGAATGGATGAAAATGAGATCATAAGTATGGATATATGGTAAACAGGGCAATTCAGAAATGCTCAGATAAAAGTGATTACATCTGGAAGTCAGGGAGGGGGATGGGAGGAAGTCAAAGCACAATTTGAGCAAAGATCTATGTGATGAAGAAATGTTATTTGGTTGTTATAAAGCAGGCATGTCCAACAGGTAGATTATGACTGGATGTCTGTAGAGAAGCTCAACAACTTTGGCTCCCCTAAAAAAGCTCAACACTTAAAATGGTGCCTTCCTCCTCCCTTAGACCTGAATCCCTTTTTTAAAAAAAGGGCTATCCTTCCTAAAAAAAGCTCACCCACTTTGATCTGAATCCCAGAAAAGGGGGCAGATCACTGCCAGTTTAGATCGCAGTCTCTTGGGAGTTGGCCACCCCTGTTATAAAGGGAAAAAGAAAAGAAATAAGATTAAAAGAAAAAGAAAATGAGATCATTATCCATAAGATAACCCCAACCAGGTGACAGGAGAAAAGAGAGAAATCTAAACCTCTAGTAGAAGCCCTAAAAGGAAACCCGATAGTACACAGGTGGGAATTCCCAGAGGGCACCTCGTTCTTCTTTGAGGGGGAAAGGCGGATGTTCAGAACGCCGAAAGACACTGAGAAATTTGGGACAAAAGCCACTTCTTTTCAGAGAAAGGCCCAATTGATTTTGTGCCTGATTTCCAAACATTCCTGTTCCGCAGACGAGGCTGTGCCATGTCTATGGAACAGTCATGTAGAATAGGCACGTCCAACAGGTAGATCCAACAATCTCCTGGTAGATCGTGGGGCTTTCCTGGTCGATCTCTGGCCCCTCAGGGATCTCCTTCCCCCCAGAATAAAAAAGAACAAAAGGAATTAAAAAAAGTTCAACAACTACTGCTTCCTGTTATGTTCTGTGTACCGTATTTTTCGCCCTAAAGGGCACACCGGCCCATAGGACGCACCTCGTTTTTTGGGGGAGGAAATGAATAAAAAAGGGCGCCCCGTGCTTCAGGCTGAAGCCCGCAAGCCTTGCGAGCCCGGCAGCAACTCCCACCGGGCTTGCAAGGCTTGCGGATAGCTTCCTGAAGCCTGGAGAGCGAGAGGGGTCGGTGCGCACCGACCCCTCTCGCTCTCCAGGCTTCAGCGAAAGCCTGCATTCGCCCCATAGGACGCAGACACATTTCCCCTTCATTTTTGGAGGGGGAAAAGTGTGTCCTATAGTGCGAAAAATACGGTATATTGCAAGGCTCATTCGGTTTCATTCATTTATATTTCCCGTTCCATTCATTCATATCTTCCGTTTCTGTCCTTCATTTGCTTCCTTAGAAAAAGCTTGTCAATGTTGGCTTCCGGAAAAAAGCCGAACAGCTTTGCCTTTCAAAAAAAAAAACGTGCCAACTTTGGCTTCATTTGGTTTCATTCATTTCATATCTTCAGTTTCATTTATTCATTGATTCCTAAAAAAAAAAAAAAAGCTCAACCACTCTGGCTTCCTAAGAAAAGCTGAACAACTTTGCCTTTCCAAAAAAAGCCCGACAACTTTGTTTTCCTAAGAAAAGCTCCACAATTTGCCTTTCAAAAAAAAAGCTCAGCTTCCGAGCAAAAAATGTGGACCATCAGATTCATCAGATTATGGTCCACCATTTGACTGTGGATTCAGGACCCTCAACTGTGTTTTATATAATCGACTTTAAATTAGGTTTTTGTTTATCTCGCAATGCTCACAGTTCCATTCATTCATAAATTCAGTTCCATTCACTAAAAAAAAAAAGCTCAACAACTTCGATCTGTCCAACGACAATGGGTAGATCACAACCAGTTTTTTTTACACTGAGAGTAGATCACAATCTATTGGGAGTTGGAGACGTCCCTGATGTAGAATGTGTTGGCTTTTTGCAGTATAGTGACGCTGCAGAGAGCTTGCTGGGGAGATCATGCATTAAAAAGAAAGGACTCAAAAATAACTTAAAGAAGGTTTTAATAAGAAAAACAAAAACTCCATTAACACTAAATATATTAACAAACCAGACCCAACCACCAACCCATCCCCCAGGGTAATGGGAGAGCTAGGTGCTGCTCCTTATATACTCTACCCAGATGCTGACACACCTTAATCAAATACAACTCAGCAGCACCTGCTATGTTACACAGCTGTAAAGCTGGGTCTCGTTATCTTGCTCTGGCCCTTGCTCTGGCCCCTTAAAGACATACACATGGAGTGGAACAATGATGAACCTTTACATTTAAAGAAACCATTCAACATTTCCCCTGCGGTTCATCATTGTGGAACAAAAACATAAAGCATACTTTGTACATGTTTTTCATGTGTAACCTTTGGAA